CGTGTGTGCAGGTAGTTGCCGTTCGGCGCGGCGGCAAGGGTGGAACGGCACGCGCGGAGGGGAAGCGACATTTGAAGTGCTTTGTCGTGGGCGAGGAGGGTCGATTCGGGTGGAGGATGGTGAGTAGCAGCAGGGTGCGTTGAGGAGGTGGCCAATTGTGTGGCTCTGTTTTAGGTGTGGCGAGTGAGACGATGGGAGCTGGTGAGTTATTGAGGCGACGAGTGTCAGCAATGCATGCATCATTACTGTTTGTCCCGCTGCGTGGTGAAAGCATGAGCCGTTTCAATTGCACCATGAGAGGCTTGACACGGACACCTGCTGGCCCAATGCTGTAATGAGCATAGTCTTCGACCGCTTCATCAACCTCGTCGAGGAACTGAGACTTCGGCTTGTCGAACCCTTTTTCTTCGACCATGATGGTCAGCAAGATAAAAGGGCTATCGATTCAAATCTCAACATTAAGACGCTTAATTGAGACATGCTGTTTGCTGCAGGCAAAAAGGACTCCTTCGGGGTCGTGCTCCAGCGGATTGACTAGCTTCTCAGCCGTGAAACCGACAGAGACGCATCCATTTGGACCAGCCCATTTGACCAGGCTTCAGTGCAGATGAAGACACCGAGCGATGGCCGAACGACACGATGCAATGCACTGTTACAAAAAGACTGACTGAAAGAGACACGTGCATACGCGCAATGGAGAACTGACTGATGAATCGAAGAAACAAAACGGACAGACACATTGTGAATTCGCTGGCCACCTTTTTGCGAAGGTCTCTCGCCTTGTTGCGAACATGTGTAGATACCTGCAGGCGGAGGGTGACACACACGGCGACAGAGCGGCGGCTGCGGCTGTGGGCTGTGTTGCCTCTCAAGTGCGACGTGGCCTACAGGGACGAGTGTCAGAGGCTGCGGGAGCTTCTCACGCGCCAAGCCATCGCATCACAGGCATCTTCCCTGTGGCGGGCGCAGTGAGTTGCCGATGTCCTCAGGTATGCTACAAAACCTTGTGTACGTGCATACCTGAGGGTTTGTGTGAGTGAAAAGAAACAGCTAGTGGTCCTCGAAAAGGGTCTGTAGGCGCCTGTGAGCAAATTGAATTGTCTCGCTCAATTATCCAGAAAACATCATATTCATGTTGGAAAATGACGCAGAAAGGCAGTTCATGCAAAGGGTCTGTGCGAATAAAGAAAGTGCCAGCCACTTCAAGGCATCCTTCCACTTTGACCAGAAAATTCGTTTTCATGCTGAAACATCACACATTCGCAACCCGAAACCACATTCGGGCCTGTCGGCTTCTTATGAGTACCTTTATGACTTCCATTTGTCTTCTCCATTTCTTCATGACTTCAGTCTATTTGATGCGATGAGAAAGACAGATCGTCATGCGGTGGGTTACTGTGTTCTAGAATTTGAAGCCTGCAACATGCCCCTAACATATTGGAAACAATTGCATACACACCCCCTTGAAAGCCCCTCCCTTGACCGAGCCATTCCCAAAGCCTCCCCAAATAGGCGGAAAAACCCTGGGAAGCAAGCCCCAAGAAACACACGCAGGCACGTGGGAAGACGTACCCATCCATCTATCCAGCCACAACACACAAAGACATACATACATTCATACATTTATGTAGGCATGACAACCCATCCGTCATCATATCGGATACACCACATAATACACATACACATCAAACATACAGAGAACAGAGACAGAGAGACAGAGAGACAGAGAGACAGCGGGACAGACTGGAAAGGCAGACATATCCATGGTGTGACATACGTTAACTCATAGCGCAACGGCAGGCAGAGTCTGTCGGTCTCTCATGAAACGAACTGCGTCAACATCGACCAACCCTCAATCATGCGACAAACATGCCAGCACCATCCTCAGCGCCCGCCTGGCGTATCTTCCAGCGGCGCCGCCCACCACGCACACACATACTCGCACTACGCGCCAAAAAAATACATACATTCATACATACATTCATTTATGCAGGCATGACAACCCATCCGTCATCAGATCGGATACACCACATAATACACATACACGAAAAACATACGGAGAACAGAGACAGAGAAACAGAGAGACAGAGAGGCAGAGGGACGGAGAGACAGACAGACAGAGAGACAGACTGGGAAGGCAGACATATCCATACATCAATGTTTTCTGTTTTTCCAAGTGTCTCGGCGTTATACAGAATTTGATTTTTGGCATATGTATGGCCGTTTTCCGCGAGCGGGAGACCAGGGGGCTTCTCCGCCACAACAAAGAAAAAGGGAAAGAGCACCTCACCGAACCACCGAGACATTTTTAATTCAGGCACGACCGGGGGCTGGAGGTACCGACGGGGCGGAAGGTAGAAACAACCCACCTTTTGACGTAGGCCAAGGGATCGGTGCTCAAGGCCGTCCACGGCATGGCGGCATCTCTGGCCGACGACGCTCAGTGGCCGTCATTTGAAGGCAGCCTCTCGTCCTTCATGGGCTTCACCATCGACCAGGCCGAGGAGTTCCTTTTCGCGCCCAACGTGACGGAATCGTCTATTGGGTCCATGGCGACGTCGTGGCTGGCGGGGCGGCTGGCGGGGCTGGGCGACGAGCAGATGAGGGGGGCGCCTTTGTGGACGGCATTCACACGCAAGCTGGCAGGTACGTCGGCCTTTTCGCCGCAGTCTGAATGAATGAATGGATGCATGAATCGAATCAATCGATCACTCTCTCTTCTTCTCTGTTGCTTGCTGGCTGGCTGATGTGTCCTTACAGGTGTGTTTGTGGCATCAGGTGAGGGCGTGGTGGAGGGCGCGATAGAGGCGTACGGGCAGCAGGTGGCGCGTATGCTGGAGGGGGGCGAGGGGAAGGGCGGCCTATGGCATCATCGTCGAGCTCATCGAGGAAGCCATGGAAGAGGAGGACTGATGAGATAGATAGATAGACCGATTAGTTAAGTGGATGCGATTGCGGCAATGCGATGCGAGTAGACAGATGCGATGCGATGCGATGCGATGCGGTTTATTGGCTGACAGATAATTCAGACGGACTGGGCCGGGTACTTCGTTGGTTTGTTTGTCAATAGATAGGGAGACAGACAGACACGCATACCTCTCAAGGAAATGATGTGGAATGTCTCGCACTCATCCAGTCTGTGCCTGTCTGCCTGCGTGTCTCACGGCGCTCGCATCCATTCACTCACATTCATATTCTTCCTGCTCTGTCGCCCACTCACTCGCACGTCGGGATAGTGCCCCATAGGCTCAGTCCTCCTCCCCCAACCCCTCCACTTCTTCTTCTCGCCGGACCACATACGCCTCACCCTCACTCAGGCCGCCTGCAGCCGTATGGATGGCATCCAGGGTCTCCTCAACCCGCTTGATCAGTGTCTCTCTCTCTTTGGTGTCCGCTGCGGTAAGAAAGAGCCGGGCTGCCAGTGATGCTGCTGCTCCTGCTGCTGCTGCTAGCCCGCGGGCGGGGCCGGCGTGTGTGTGGGTGAGGCCGTAGTTTCTCACCAAATCGCGCATCGTCTGCGTCACGCCTCCATCTGGGAGGTCCAGCCCCTCCACTCGTGTTGTGTCAGGCTGGGGCTGGAGCTTGGGCACGCCACTCTTGCATGCGCGGTCGGTGCGGAGATTGGGAAAGGTGTCTTGGAAGAATTTGTCGTGCAGGGGCAGATCGATCATGCTGCAGATCAGATGAAGAGTTGACACGAAGAGACAAACAGAGAGACACACACACATTGAGGAAGAGGGAGAAATGCTCCTTCTTCTCCTCCTCTCCTTCTCCGCGTTTCTTTTCCCTACGTCACCTGATGTCGACGAAGACCTTGTCGATATCGATCGGGTCGACCCAGCCTGGCAGACACATGCCGGTCGTCTCTTCTGATTCTTTCTGTCTAAATCTCATTGTGTGCATCCGTACCGCCTGAATTCGCGTAGATGAGCCAGTTGTCCAAGCTAGGCTGCTGTCGTTGGAGCTTGGCAACGTGCGTGTGGCCGAAAACCATCTACACACCCACATCTGTCCGATGTCTGATACATCTCATTGCCCAACTTTTTCTTTAGCGTTTTTGGCGTGTTTGTGTTTTCCTCATCCACACCGACCACGTCTGTGGTGTCTTGTGGTTGGTTTGCGATGAAGTAGTCGTAGTCCTGTCCACACACGAGTCCCAACACTCATAGTATAAATTTCACATGCACAGCTTTCATGTCTCACTCCCATGGCGGAGAGACCTCCCCTACAGCCACAACAATGATCGATGCTTGATGCCAGTCGTGTACCTCATGCCTTCACCTGGTCACCTGATCAGCGCTTTTGATTCCTTCCTTGACAACCGAAGCTCCCTCTTCATGACTTTGGGAAGATCACCATACTCCGTCACCACCTGGAGCCACACACACACACACACACACATACGCGCACAAAACACACACACACACACAGACGAGACGTTCTTGCCCCTCTCAGGTAGGCGCGTCCACCGTTTCAATTGAAATTGTGCCGTTCCGAAGGCGGAATCGATCCTCGCGGACGTCGTTGTTGAGAATGTTGACCAGGTCATGGCCCGGTGCACCCTTCCTGGTGACAGCCTGTAATCGCTCCTGGAACATTGTCATGTAGGCTTTCTGAATGTGGAATGACATGACAAACACCAAGAATTAAATTAATCCGTACAACACAAAGTCCGTCAATCGTTCACTTGCCTTGAAGTGTTTCCCCATGATGTATTCGGTGATCGAGGTCACAAACTTCGTCGTCTCGCGCACGGCATTCGAAGACGGGCTGTACACCTTGTGAAACCTCTCCAGCTCACATCAAGTGGCATCCGCTCTCGCCAGCCAGTACGCGGCGGATGGGCGTTGAGAAAACCCCATAGGAAGCTGCTCAAGTGCTGTGTCTCCCACACTGCTCTTTATTTTGTTCGTGTAGTGTGAGAGAGGGTCGGGTCTGTTGAGATTTTCCTCAAACTGGCCGTGCTCTAAGCGGACGAGGCGCCAATCCACAAGGACATCTGATGGATGCACATGCCTATGAGATAGCCGGTGTGCACTCATTCAGCCTCACACCTTTTCTGTAGTGGACAGAGGGCATGTGCTTCTCGACAAAATCCCTCGTCAAATTGAGGACAAGCGCAAAGGAGCCGTCAGACAATCTGTCCTCCTCTAGCTTACGTCTCGTAATCGTGATTCCCCTGCTCAGACACAGAGTTTTCGCTTTCTCTCACTTCCTCACGGCTAACTGTGTTCTTACTCGAATGATATAGGTAGGAACCTTTTGTGCGATCTCTTCTATAAAGCGAAGAATCTCTGGGACCTTGGGACGAAGAATATGCCCAAGAGTCGTCTGAGATAGACACGGAAACATATGCGGAGTGGAGTGGCCACAGATGGCGTCCCAAGGTCATGTGCGGCTTACATCAACGTTCTTAGTTTTTCTTGCCCGGTGCTCGAGAGTAAAATCGACCAAATGCATGGGAATCGCCCTACATAGTAGGCACGTAGGACATGATTATGTCAACATCCTTTCTCTGAAGACCATGTCTCGAATATGTCCCCGCTGCACATTCGTAGCAACGAGATACGCAGACGTGTGGCACTTTCTCCTTTATCGGCCATACACCCACCCACAGCTTACAGGAGCACAAGTGCCTTCACATTGGCACTGTAAGGGTTGCCCGGAGTCACGGTGGCTCGAAACAACGAAATCAGCTTGTCTGTGCACTCGTCAGACGTCCGGCAATTGCTCTGTCGGAGTGTGTCGTTGAGACACGGACACAGATACACAGCCATTCCTTCGCACGGCTTCGCACCTGCCGCTTACCACATGCACGTCGGAAACGATTCTAAGTTTGCCGAAGCTGATGTGAAGATCGGTGGCAGACTCGGTTTGCTGTTGGCTGACTCTCTCCGCCAATCTCCCAATGGGCCACAGCAACAACAGCAGCGGCGGCAGCTGACAGAGAACCGGCATCCGGGAAACAGACTGGGGGCCAGAGAGGTGAGACTGCATGCGATCGCTGCGAGCGCACTGAGACGCAGCCGGTTCGCCCCGTAGGTGAAAAATGGTGGTTGCCGGGGGTGTGCCTAGTGAGTGCCGCACTGATGCAGTGATCAAACTTCATATAGGCACCCGATGGGCTGCGATGCTACCCCCGTGTGTTAGGCAAGGAAACGTTTTCCAGCACATCTAAGCTCGCAGGATGAGAAGCAAAAAGAGTGCCGCAAGCAATTCTGTGAAGCAAAATCGATGCAGAGGGACGCTCTGAGCAATCCCTGCTTCACAGATTCCCGAAATACCCACTCACTCCTGCGAACGGACCGCTCCTTTCCCCCCTTGTACAGAAGTCGGTCCTGATCTTGAGTGAGCACGTCGTTGCGATGCTCCGCGACACCCTTGGACGACGCCTGACCCATCGGCCAATCATCTCTGGTGAAGTGAGGCACCCACTTTCATCCCCTCACTGAATAGATCCATTCTTATCATGTACACACAAACATACGTATCTGCATGGCCTCCTGAGACCCACAGACACCTCACTGACTGCCTGCTTGTCCCTCTGCTTGTCCTGCAGGCTGATTGACTCATTGTATTCTACCTGCGGCATGTTGTCTGCCGCTTTGGCGTCGTGATTTCCCGACACATCGCACCTGCCGTACATGAACCTGAGGTGAGCACAGATCCAGAGCGAGAGAGGAGGGAGGGAGAGGGCGGGAGGGAGAGGGAGCGAGAGATCCCAACATGACACACATCCATCCATCCATCCATTGCTCTGTCTGTCTGTCTGTCCCTTACCTGCAGTATTTAGCTCATTGTTTGTTGCCGTCGTACCCGTCGCCACCGGACGCCGCGCTGCCCTCCCCCTCTCACACCCACCCGCTGCTGCATCACACCCCCCGCCGTCCCTCTCGCACCCATCACCACCACCACCACCAGCTGCAGCGGTCATGGCTGACCAGATCGGTCGGCTCAAGCGACGAGCAATCGCTTCAACTCGCCGTGGTGATGCTCCTGACCACCGTCCCGCAGCAAGTCACATCCAGCCCGCCGCCCCTCCCTCCCTCGCTCGACTTGTAGCTGACCTGTCTGACGACGAAGACGAGCCTGATCGGTCGACAACACTCGTCGTCATCAAGGGCGGCAAGCAAGAGCTGATGGAGATGTGAATGCTCAACGACCTGATGTCACACCTGTCGGCGAAGAAACCATCTGAGGACACTCTGCGCAGCATGCTCGAAAAGGGCTGGCCCGGTCTCCGGCCGGAGCGGAGGCCGTCGTCTCGGCCGCACAAGGTGTGCATGGGCACGCTGCTCAAGAGGCGGCGGGACTTGTTCCTTCGATTCGTTCCCGACATACCGGAGACCGGCATCCTCTCGCTCCCCAACGACATTCCTGAGAGCCTGGTGCGGCGGCTTGTGGATGTGCATGACGGCGCGCCGTATGAGGCTGATGACCCAGTTCAGCTCCAGCCCGAGCTCGATCTCGACCAGGCCGAGACACGCCATCGCCTCCTTTACGCCCTCGAAGCGTCGGGCGAGTTGCAGCGGCAGATGCTGGAGCGATTGGGAGTACTTGAGTACGTCACGCAGCATCGTCACGAGTTCGAGCCATACGACTCTCAGGCCATCACGCCGAGACCGACACGCGCATTTTATGTGGTATGCACCTGATGGGGTGGGAAGCTACAGACACCACACATCCCTCCTTGACTGATGCTTGTGTTGTGTCAGCCCCCGTTTCGAGCGTCTGATGTGGACACTGCCCACCACCAGCAGCCAGACGACAAGCCGCCAAAGCGACGGATGCCCAGCTGCACCAAGAACTCTCCCCCACCCGCCGACCTCGATCTCGACCTCGAGAGCCACTCTGACGGCCGCGCAATCATGTCCCCTCCGCGAGCGTACTCTCTCATTTCCTGCAACTCGTGTTCAAGCCTGTAGACAATAGAGATATATGCCTCGTTCCCTCTCTGCTTTGTCTGGTGGGTGAGTCGTTGGGTGTAAGGGGAGGGGAGGGGAGCGGTCCGGTCCGGCCCCTGCCTTCCCTTTAATAGGCGGGTCTTGGATTGCGTTTAATAGGCTGTTCGGTTTGTGTCGGACTGCTGCTGTCATTCATGTCGTGTGGTGCGCTTGTGTTTCTGTGACTGCTTGTGCCTTTGCCTGGTGTGCGAATACATTGCCGACTCTAGATCAGATGTGCTGGTCGCCCATGCTTCTGTGAAAGCGAATTCTTCATCCAGAAGGTAGAGGATGAATGAAGAGAAACGTGCATTGGCCTTGATGCATTGGTATGAGTCTGGGGATCCCTCCTTGCCGTGTCATGACGATCACTTGACGAGTGACTGAGTGAATGCTCAGAACACTCGCCAAGCAAAAGCTTCGGCCACATTCGCACACATTGTCGATGCTGATTTCTTAGCCACCGTTTTTCGTCAGAATGCACTCGAAGACGCCTTCGTTTGTGTCTTTGTCTGTTTGTTGGTTGGTGTCTCCTGCATCATCCTCAATCGCATGACACAGTCAGTCAGTCGGTCGGTCGGTCACTGGGACTGGCGGCGGGAGTATAGACAGACGGATGGACGGACAGACAAGACAGATCGCGCTCATTCACTTTCTTTCGAGTGAGTCAGTAGTTCTTGATGGCCTGCAGAGCGTCGTGGAAGCTGCGGCTTGGCTTAACGCTTGCGCCACCAGATTTGGGAAAACCTGCAGGGCACAGGAGACAGCAACACCCTATTAGCATGTGCTGTGTATGTGTGTGTGCATGTGTGGATTGATGCCCAAATTGAGTACGTACAGACACGCATCTTGTATTTGTTGTGTAGATCGTCGGCCCTCAGCTTGATGGTCAGCCTGTTCCGGACATCGCAGAGCTTGGTTTCCTGCTCACGCCCCTTGTAACAATGGCCTGTGATGATCGACATGTATCGGTCGGGGTCGCCTTCCCGGGAGGCCATTCTGTGTTTGCCCTCCTGTATGAACCAAACGCATACGGAAGCAGCCCACACGCTTCAGACAGAATATGTAGGACGGAAATTATTCGCCTTGCAGCCGGAACACAAAAGTTACCAGCACACAGATCTCTTTCTCGTCGATGCTGCAGTGGCGGTATTCTTTCTTGCTCTTGCTCGTGCGGTAGCCGTAGATCGGCTCAAGCAGCTCGTGGTCCATCGGTTGCTGGGCGGTGCAAAAACGTATGTATGAATGCATGGGGATATATCCTAACCCCATCACCTGGTTGCTTGGCCAGTGCTGAGGGTGAATTGCTCCAATCTTACACAAATCCGTGTCTGTCTCTGAATCAGATACATAAATACATACTGACGTCCAGCACAAGAAGAGTAATGCGTGGTGCACCAGGCTTGTAGGGGCTGTCGCCAGAAGCGCCCGGGGACACTAAATGAATGAAACAATCAGTGGGGGACAATATGAGTGGGTGGGTGGGCTGGTTGCTAGAGAAGGGCAGTCAAGCACCCACCTGCTGGACTCGTAGAATTGTGCTCTCTCATTTCCTGCAACTCGTGTTCAAGCCTGTAAACAGTACAGATATATGCCTCGTTCCCTCTCTGCTTTGTCTGGAGGTGTGGAAGTACATCTTTTTCTCCCAGGACGTCTGATCGCAACATCTACCGATATAGCAGGAATACACACTAGCTAATACAGCCAGTGTCCACTCTCATGTTCGGCATCTTACTTACTTGCATTTGTTGAAGAGGTCCCTCATGATTTTTTCTTTCCGCCGACCCTCTTTCAACGGCCCAGGGATCGAATTGAAGAGGCCTAGGACCATTTTAAGACCTTGTTTGTTGCAAGGCATCTTCGATGTTCGGGCTGGGACGTCTGCATCAGTTGAAAGGGCGTATGAATTAAAGCAGCGAGGTGTGTGTGTCAGTTCACCATGCCACTGTGGCCAGATCGTGATGACCCGGACACCCACTCTTGCCGCTTGATCGCGCCTTTTTTGTCGCGCCTTTTTTGTCACGCCTTGTTTTTTGTCGCTTGCTCCTCTCGCGCTGCACTACTCTCGCCGCCTTGATCGCGCCTTTTTTGTCGCGCCTTTTTTGTCGCGCCTTTTTTGTCACGCCTTTTTTGTCGCTACTGTCGCGCTGCACTACTCTCTCTTGCCGCTTTGATCGCGCCTTTTTTGTCACGCCTTTTTTGTCGCTTGCTCCTCTCGCGCTGCACTACTCTTGCCGCTTTGATCGCGCCTTTTTTGTCGCGCCTTTTTTGTCGCGCCTTTTTTGTCGCGCCTTTTATCACGCCTTCTTTGTCGCTTGCTTCTCTCGCGCTGCACTACTCTTGCCGCTTTGATCGCGCCTTTATTGTCGCGCCTTTTTTGTCGCGCCTTTTTTGTCGCGCCTTTTTTGTCACGCCTTCTTTGTCGCTTGCTTCTCTCGCGCTGCACTACTCTTGCCGCTTTGTCGCGCCTTTTCTGTCGCGCCTTTTCTGTCGCGCCTTTTTTGTCGCGCCTTTATTGCCTTCGTAAGTGCATTCTGCTGCAGAAATCCAACAACTTGTATAGCATGTCTCACAATTGATGTCTCATTCATTTGAGATATCCATTCGAGTGATTCACCGGTAGCATTGCATTCAAGTTGTGGGATTGTGCCCTGGAAAAGGTCATCAAAGCTTGTCTCTGGCAGACAATCAATTGGAGAATTGGAAGCCATGAATATTGATGATTGGCTCAGGGCCTGAGTGCTGTATGGTCTATGTATCTCACCCAGGCTGAGCTGGTCATTGCCGTGGGCTTGGGGCACTGATAGCAAATATCACCGCGTGAGGCGTGCGGACAAGGCTCCGATTAGCATGCACGCATCATACGCGTACCCGTCAAAGTATCAATGCTGTCCTCAACAGCACCTTCACGTTCCACGGACTCCTCGAGATAGCCTGGAAGAGCGAATCAGCAGTCAACATGTTGGCTCGTCTGAATAGTATACTCGTGGAACCTGTCTCGATGCATGTATACAGACACGGACTGTTGCATGGCTTGTTGACTGGTTTGCACTGTTCGTCATTCTCTCCGCCGCCAGGCATTCAGGACAGTGCGTCACACCTACCATGGCGGTGACCGCTGTCGATGTGCGAAGCGCCACAGAGGCCCATGAGGAGGGCCGAGGCGATAAGCAGCCTGTTCGGCAGCATGTTGGACGACTTCACGTAGAAAAATTCCCGTCTCCGCCCCCAGCCCCTACCTCGACTCGGAGTCTCAACACACAACTGTCGCGGCGGCCTACATGACGCTGTGGCATTGTGTTTGGCCTTTTGGTTTTGGCCCATTGTATCCACGCTTGGTTTTGATGGCGGTCGGTACTATGTTGGCCATGCTCATTGCATGGATCCGTTTAACGGAGCTTCGAACCGCTACTGCTCATGACCAACAGCGCAGGGTGAAGTTACGAGTGCGCGCGTGCCACACTGTGTTCCCGAGGCTCAGACAGTATGGTGGCGTTGAGGTGAGAAACCATACACTCAATGCCTACTCGCAAGTTCTCGCGTCCTGGTGTTTGCAGCTTCCGCCTTCTGCTTGGATCTCTCGTCCTGTCGCCCCTGGTCACGTGTGGCGCCTTCATCCGGCCCGCCCACGCACCTCTGACACACGCAGTGACCTGCGTACCCCACGCATCTTCACATGCACTGGACCGACAGAGAATGCGGCCACTGACTGCCGTCGGAATGACTACCATCGGCCTGACATCGCGGGATGCCGTTGCGGCGTGCTTGGGCGGGACGTTTGCCCTCATGATCAATGGCTATGTCAATGCCAACAAGCAGGGCGTTGCGTGGGCGCTCGGGTGGACCATTGGCATGATGCAGGCCAAGTTTCTGGACAACGTCGTGCCTGTGCTGGCACAGTACTCGCGAGCCATTGACATCAATGAGTGAGTGAGCAGATCGTTTCCCACGGAACTGCCCTGGCTGCATAACAAAGGATGTTGTATGCCTCTGTTTCTCTCTCCGCGCGCGCGTGTGCAGTTTGAGTGTGTCGGATCTGCTCATACGGCTGGCGAGTGTCGAGGTGGACGACCATGATTTTGCGCGTTTCGCCATGACAATGGTGTGGACATTGGTGGCGCTGCCCTGGGTGGTCCTCTGGACAGGGCCTCGCGTCAAGAAAGATCGCGCCTGAATGAACACGAAAAGACTGCATGGTGTTGTTGTTGTTTGGGAGTCAGGTGTGTGCGTGCATGACAGCCTCAGGCAGCTGTGCGTCGTGAGAGGATTTTGTATGTCTGAAGGTGGTCTGATTCCTTAGATAGGCGTTTCGCTGACAGGAGATCATGCGACAGACAGGGAGGGGTGTGCATGTGTGTGGGCCTTGTGGCGAGAGGAGTTTATGTATAGTGCATCGATCGAGGCAGATGCACACTTGTTTTTCCCCCCTTTTTTGTCGTCTTGGGTGCAGTTTCCCATATGTCACGGGTTTCTCAGTCGGGACACATGCATGAATTTGCCTGTCAGACATGGATGGACCCGGGGTGATCCTTCGCCCATGCAATGACCTGCTTGCCTGCCTGCCTACCTACCTACCTACCTACCTACCTACCTACAGACGTACAACGTCTCCCCCCACATTATGCACACCCACGCAAATATGACACGCACCCACCCATAGATCACCTAAATTGTCGTGTCATCACATGCATTCACAGACAGATACACTGAAGCAATCTCCTCTCTCCTCCCATTCATTCACGGCAGCTCCTCCAGCCGGCCGAGGAAGAGCTGGACTGTGGGCAGCCAGAACAGGTCCACACCACACCACCGCTCCGCTCAATTTGATTAGCTAATCGACGTCATCCACCTCCACACTCGCCAACTTCGACAACAGGTCGGGCACGGTCCCACGGTCCCAACTACGCGCGCGCGCGCACACACACACACACACACACGATGCATCACACAAGTGATCCATTCAAGGCCCCCCCCCC